TGTTTTTTTTATATTTGTACCTTTGAGTTGAATTTATAAACTCTATATTTTTATACATTTTTATACATTTTTACATATACACATAAACATAAAGTGTTCATATAGAAGTATATATGAAGTTTAAATAAATAATTTCCAACATATCTATAACTATTCCATTTTCTCTTTGTCTATTTTATTATTTCTTTCCTGGAGATTTTCATTCCTGTTAGTATTATTTGATACAAAATCATTTGAAACATCATAAATCCTAATCTTTAGTATTCTAAAATCATTAATCAGGATTATCCTAAAGACTAATATCAACAATCCTGCTAACCAACTCCACATCTGTATATATGAAAGAACCTTAAAAGCATTTAATGTATATGTTAATATTTGATTACATTTTAATACTAAGCTGTTGTATTGTTTATAAAATATAACCTGTAGCCAAAGGAAAGTTTTACAGACATCAATTTCATAGGTGTTATATTGTTGCAAATATACTTGTACAATTTCACATTCACTACAAATATAATTTTATTAGATTAAAAATACATAAAAAATAAAATAATTTATATATCATACCTTGTAAGTTGTGGTACTTTATAAGTATTGCTTATTTCAGTATAAACATTTTTTAAGTTCTGACTAAATATAAAGTATCCTTTTCCCAGATTAATGGTAGTGTATATTGTTATTATTACAAATATTAGATTAAAAACTGTTGCTGGAAATACAGTTCTCCATGGAGCCTCAAATCTATACAATATAATATCTATACTATAATATAATTAACAATTAATTAATAAGTACTTACATGCCTATATCATGTCCACCTTTACCACATATTAAAAACATAATGGACCATATAATTCCAAATATACAGGACAAAAAACATGATATGAAATATAGTTTACATTTATATTTATAGTCATAATTAGTAACAATGTAGTTCCACCAATCTGCATCAATTGTATTCCAGCTGATTTTGTCAATTGTGTCATCAAATTTTGATTCTATATTTAGCATGGAAAGAGAATTCGCCCAAAGTGGACAATTACCGTTGAAGGCGTCTTGCTTAAAAATTTTTAATATAAAATTAAACTTATATCGAAAACATGAGAAGAAAAGAAGCAAGATTAATTTGGCACCCATATCATGTAAAATAAAATGCTGCAAATGTATCCAGTAACCGCGTTTACGACATAAAAAAGCGCCGGTATAAATTTCCATAACCAGGAAATTTCGGTTGCATCACGCTCGATAAATTCCTGATATTCCTCTAACAATTCCATCGATGGTAAGTAAGTAAGTAAGAATTAAACAAACGTTAACGAAAATTAACGAATATTTTACGTAAACATTACATCGGGAATCTGAAACGTTACGCGCCAAACTTCATTCGTGCGAAAAGGCACGATCCCTATTGGTTCATTGAAAGTGAGCAAAATACAAACAGCAACGAGACCAACAAATTTCAAACATATTAGATTGCTCATATTCATTATTAAAAAGTATTGCAATAAAACACGTTCATATTGGCATTTAGCATGGGTATATACGTTACCGTTCCAATCCATTCGAAGTGAATCGATCAAGACACCTAAATGATTGATAAAAAATTATCAGAACGAGTTCGTATTTTCTGAAGTTAACTATATAACGCGTTCGACGTAACTCCGTGCTCTGTAGGAAGTATTGCAGACTGATCGTGGGAGTTGGACCAAGAAACGGAGGAACGCGCGGACTGCGAACCGC